TAACTCTTCACATGTATATATTTTTTAAAAGAAGACATCCTAAGGTATTAAACATAGGGTATTTTGATTTTTCATGGAACAATTTTACCACCAATCTATTCCCCCCCCCAAAAAAATGGTGATTTTTTTGACACACATAGCAATTTAAGAATATATGTACTGAGAACTTTAAGGGTTACTGCCAAAGAACACCCCAATATGTGTTCAGCAACATCTCCTGCGTACAGTAATACCACCCATGTATAGGTGTGTTAGGTTCGCTGGGGGCTAAAAGACCTTATTTGGAGGGTGAGCGTTCCACTTTTCCAAGTTGGAATTTTCACATCTGGTTATCATGCACCCATGTCTTATATGGGACATTTTTGAAGCCGGCCGATGTAATTTATCCCCATCAAACCATATATTTTTTTTAAAGTAGACAACCCAGGGTATTCAATATGGGATATGTCCAGTCTTTTTTTAGTAGCCACTTAGTCACAAACACTGGCCAAAGTTAACATATATATTTGTTTGTGTGTTAAAAATGCAAAAAAACAATTATGAACGCTAACTTTGGCCAGTGTTTGTGACTAAGTGGCTACTAACAAAGGCTGAACATACCCCATTTGCAATACCTTGGATTGTCTTCTTTTGCAAATGGTATGCCATCATGGGGATAATTCTCATTCCTGGGCTACCATAACCAATCTGGCAAATTTCTATGTGAAAAAACGGCCTTATATTTGACCCTGTAACTTTCAAAAACACCAAACAACCTGTACATGGGGGGGTACTGTTATACTCGGGACACTTCGCTGAACACAAATATTAGTGTGTTTCAAAACAGTAAAACACATTACAACAATATAATCAGTGAAAGTGCCGTTTGTGTGAAAAATAAAAAAAAAAAAAGTCACTTTCACTGACAATATCATTGCTGTGATGGGTTTTACTGTTTTTAAACACTAATATTTGTGTTCAGCAAAGTCTACCGAGTAAAACAGAAACCCCCATGTACAGGTTTAGCATGTCTTGGAAATTTACAGGGTTAAATATAGTGCTAGCAAATTAAATTCTTTGGAGTTTCGGTCTGGGTTGTCAGGCCGGTCCCCTTAATTGCAATCAATAAAATTACTTAATTATGTAAAAATATAACAAATATGCACGTAGAATTTAAATATATATACATATTTATATATTTGAAGTCTACATGTATATTTATGAAATTATTTATGTAATATAGTATATGAACATATGTATATTTTGTATTTTTATTTATTTATAAATACATAGATAGAATTTCATTCTTAGTGTATTTTGATATAAAAATATATATTATCAAAATACAATTAGAATAAAACTACATATATTTATTTTTAATAATACATATACACAACATATATAATTATATATATGTGTGTAATATCTATATTAATAAAAATATACACATACACTTAGTATGACATATATATATATATATATATATATATATATATATATATATATGTCATACTAAGTGTATGTGTAAAACTACATGGCTGGGTGCACTACCAGGGCTCCAATATTCAATATGCAAAGTAGATGGCTGCACTCACGGTCTTTCGATAAAAATTTGCTTTTATTCCAAAAAAGTTAAAAAGGTTTTATGAGCCTGAAGAAAGTCTCTATGGGGGACTGAAACGCTGATCCAGTTTTTTTGGGATAAAAGCTCATTTTTATCAAAAGACCATGAGTGCAGCCATCTAATTTGCATCTAATCTGTCAGTTGAGGCAGTCCCCCTACTGGCAGCACTGTGGACACCTATTGCGGCCATGTGGCCACTCTTTGAGAGCGGTCACATGGCCCATAGGGGTCCTAAATTGCAGTGGGGGGACTGTCTGCCTCAGAAGAAGACCTATCGCCGGCAGGGGAACGGCGGCGATCGGTAAGTACATGGGGAGGGAAGGGGTTAAAAATTATTTTTTTTAGATTTACTGAGTGCCTCGACCCAGTCAGTACAGGCGGAGCAGTGGAAGCCTGCCTAATGGCTTGCGATGCTCTGCCTCACTGCTAGGCTCCACCTGGAGCAACCCGGAAGTGATCGCTCCAGGAGGGGTGGGGTATCACCCAGTGCTCTCCGGCGGCCTGGCAGTGAGGGGGGTATTGCATCAATGCATCTCTATCAGGAAAATTCAGCATCTCCATGAATGGCAGGGCTTCCTACTGTGCAGCCCTGAGCCAGGAAGCCCATCCAGTGGCCATCTGAGGAATGGCCACTTGGAGGTGTTCCTAGGGGGCAATGTAAACACTGCCTTTTCTCTGAAAAACTTCCCCTGAAGAAGTTCAAGAGAACGAAACACGTAGGGCGGAGAGACCCCTAAAGCACATGAACTTTTATTGGATTTATTTTTGTTTTTATCATTTTGGTTTGTTAGTGTTTTATATATATTTTTTCAGCTGTCCTATTTGTTTACTGACCGGAAGGGACATCTGGAAGCTTCACAGTCAGGCCAGGGACTACATTGTGATATGCTGATTGTTACCAGAAATCTTGTGAGTGCAATCTAGAATAAATTATACTTGTATTATTTTATTGGTGCACTGTGTTTGTGTGTCTCTGTTTAACTCCTTATAAGGATGAAAGAGAAGAGGATTGAGCTTCTTCATCTTCAATGATTTATGTGCCTGCAGTATTTTATTATCTTGTGAGTGCAATTCAATTCAGCACTTATCTTGGTGACATTAATTCTGCACCATTATCTGCTATTCCTCTTTGTCTCCATTTATAGATTGTATTTTTTATAACTGTTCTATGTTCGCTTAATCATAATACAGCAGAAAATGTTTCTGCACTACTCCAGTTCTCCTGCCTCACCACCTGTTCCCTGGTATCACATACATACTCTCTCTCCTTCCCTTGCTCTTCTCTGGCAAATTTAATTCACCCTTCAATCATGCAACCGTAAACCCTGGTTCTATTTATACATTTAAATAAAAAAAATTAAAAAGCCCGACCTTGACACTAGCTCTCTATGCAACTACCACCACTCTCGCTACTACCATTTGCCTCCAAGATCCTCAAATACAACTCTCTGCTTTAGTCTGTATTCTGCACTTGCCAATTTGTCAAAACGGCTCTGACCAAAGAACCCAATGATTTCATCACTGAAAAATCTAGTGGTCACTTTGCTATCCTAATTTTCCTTGATCTTTCTACTGCTTTTGACATGGTTGATCATCAATAACGTCTTCTACTGCTCCGTAATCTCGGCTTACAAGATACTGCTTTCTCCTGGTGCTCCTCCCAGCTCTCTTTCAATGTTTCTTTCTCTGGCTCTTCTCCTCAACCCCTCTCTGTTGGTGATCCCCAAGGTTGTGCTTGGTCCCCTACTGTTCTCAATCTACATTGCCTCCCTTGGTAAATTCATCAGCTTCTTTGGCTTCCAATATCATTTCTATGTCTGAAGGAGAAAAATTATATTAGGGAATATTGAAATATAAAGGTTATTAAAATAATTGTAGTTTTGATTTTTGTTTGGGTGAATGCCAAATAGAAATACTGGTTTGTTTTTGAAACACATCTGATTTTAAAATAGTGGGTAGTACATCTGGTTTTAAAATACTGGATAGTAAACATAATGGGTAGCAAATATTTATAGAGGTAAAAAAATGTAAAGCAACATTTAGTTAAAAGTAACATTAGGGGTGAAACTAGTGGTAAAGAAGGGGAAATGGTTTTATCATTGTAAGACACACATAGGATGTGAAAAAAAACTAGATGTATGGCTTATTCTAACAAAACAAATTACAGGTGTTATTACTGGTCATAATAAAAGTGTTATATACCATACATTCTTTGGTGCCCTCGTGGTCTGCAATATCACTAGAAGTGTACAAACCTGGTTAGTAGAGCATGCGGACAATATCCAAAGAGGGTATAGTGTTGATAATGGAGATCCCTCTCATCTATCCATTATGAATATTTGAAAGACAAAAGAATTGGATACGGGAAGAAATGTTTAATTAACTGAGCATGGAAACCCAATGGAAACTGGGAGGCACCACTGCTGAATTATGTTCCATACTAGTGTGTGGATGAAAATATAAAGCAACAATTAAATTGTTACATCACCCAAAACATTAACTCAAAATTTGATAATAAATTGGTGTGCTAAGCATTTTTTTAAAGGTTTTATTTGCTTATTTAATTACAAATGTGGATAATTTAAAAAAAATTATGTAAATCCTTATATCCTGAATTATTATTTTATTAGATTAATATCCACCCACCCAAGGCCCACAATAGCATATAGTACTCACCCAATGCTGATGGGTATAAAGAAATATTCACTAAAATTCCAGCTATAAACAGAGAGCTAATCAGCCCTTTTCACTACACTATAACCCCTGCAGTGCTGATTACAAATGTTCAGGCTCCATAGACCAGAATGACAAGTTCCTGATTGGCCAAATTATTCTCCAGAAAAGACAAAGCTGAAGGCTAATAATGTCATGGTTAGGGATTTGCACAAAAGAAATCGCTGAAAAAAAGAACTTCTGTAATTCTAGATTAGTTATTTGTGTCTATTTTTAATATATTATCTTCTATACCAACATTTAAAAAAAATAAAAACAACTTCCCCAGCTCATAACTGTTACAAATTGAAAATAGTTTGGGATTGGTCATAATACAGCTCAAAGTACTATGTACAATACATGAAGTTTAAGTTGTATCTTTTCAAGGGTATATATAATTGTAGATTATACTAGCTTTAGTGTAACTATAATCTTAATTTTATTAATGACAGGAGGCGAATATTTGCTTAAGTCTCTCTTTACTAGAACCCCACAGCAGCACATTAACATAGAGATAAAAACACCAGAGACAAAAAAAAAAAAATCAGGAATCTATAAAAGGCTTCTCTCAACTAACTATTTCCTCTTTCACGCTGCGACAAATAAAGTACATCAAAAATACACCACAAATACAATAACAGGAGAAACAAACATAACATAACGAATTCCATTAGAAATTAAAACCGTGGAACCAATGGGTGAAGCCTTGACCTTTATCCTGTAGAGTAGTCGGATCTAAGAACTGTAGCCAAACCATTAAAATGAAACGAGATAAACAGAGTCGAAACACTGATTAGCGAATGAAATGTACTGAGAAAACATGAATCTCCATCGTAAAGACTGACAGTATAATATTCCAGATAGTGAAAAAACCTTAATCTCCATCATAAAATACTGACGGTACCATATCCCAGATAAACCCCAACTCCCCCAGATAACTAACCTAGCCTAGGAGATCAGGTGAATAAACAACAAGGCAAGGGAGAAACTGGGAGGGAAATATTCGCCTCCTGTCTTTAATAAAATTAAGATTATAGTTACACTAAAGCTAGTATAATCTACAATTTTATAGCATGACAGGAAGCTTCATATTTGCTGTTATAACGCATGGACAGCAAAGACCAAAGAAACACGACCCGCCGTACCGACCTAAACTCTGCAAAGATAGCTCCTCGTAACAGACAGGAAAGCGTACGATGTCTTGGAGAAAAAAGCCCGCATGTCGGTACCTGAAGTCGCCGTGTTACGGACTGAAGTGAACCGAAAAAACCTATACGCCCCGCCAATGCCAACCACAACCAAGTGGTACATAAAGGGCGAGAAAAACGGAAAAACCATTTAAACAAACGGGTGACGTTGAACACCGCCTAAAGGTGGGAGCGCTACCAAAGTAAGGATATGACCATCGGATCCGACTAAGGCTGATAGACAACTAAGGTCCGAACCGCCGAACCCATCTGAAAGTAAAACAAGGTATAATAACTGAAATAACTCCAGAATCAGTGAATGGGCAAAACCCAACAGAACCCACCATAGGAGCATGACAAAAACGCATGTACCCACTGGGGAGATGAATACCCATCCTCAGGAATCGTAAAGGGAATTCTAAGCAGAGCGAGGCCCGCCGACAACAGTCGTACGCGCTACCTAATCTAATTAATATGGCAGTCCTCTGTAATAAAGTGACCAAACAATACCCGAACCCTGTAAAAGCGGTAAACTAAGTCAGGGTCGCAATGCAGACCAAAGTCTCACAATCCCCGAGATCAAATGAGCAAGGGTCCAGGGAATCCAGGAACTAGGTTCGACTCTGCCGAAGCGGAGATCATAGTTCCAAAGTACCAGCAGACCGAGGCATCTGTAGAAAGGTCCTGAGACCAAACAAACGGAGGAGACTCGTCCGCGTCGAGTGTCGAACACTCCTGGAGGGAAGCGTCTATCGCTGAGCAAATGGGTTCGTCATCCAGCCAAACTGGTCGGGGCCTGATGGGTCCTCCTCCGTGGACAAAAGTCTTGACGCCGGGTCCTCCCAGAGAAACTATTCCATATGTACGAGAACTCGGGCAGAGGAGAGCGTGGGAGGCACCCCCTTGCATCCAATCCGTGCTCCAGGACTCTACTCCTTGAGATGTAGAGAAGGTCGATATTTCCCTGGTTGAATATGAAATCCAGGGACTCTAACAAGGGAAAACGCAGGGAGCGTCTGACCTTTCAGTCTGGAAGGTACCTCGCAGGGGGTCCAGCAAGCCTGTCCTGGTATACTGCAAGATGTCCTATATCGATGAAAAGTCGCGTCCGGATCCCAATGCGTGGAAAACGAGAAAGATCTCTTCAAAAAGTTCTGGAATTCCTGAATGTCCTCAATTCCTCGCAATCTGCTAACCATGTTGTATTGTCGCCCAAATGACTGATGCACAAGATACCTATCTCTCCAGGGAGAAAATAGAGGCTACCTTACCAGAACTGGGCCCTGTGGTCCCTAGAAGTTTCTTGAGGCCCGCGTCTAATTTAATGTAACCAATGAAAATACGTTCAATCGTAGACTCGTGCTGGGACTCAGAGGGGCTCAGATCCCTTTATCCCAAGCACCTCCAGCGGACCAAATTGCGTTTAGGATAGGGTCGTCTGCCACACCAGACTCGGGGCCCCGTCTGGGATATAATCCGAAAGTGGAGGCAAGTGTGAAATTCCGGGTCAAGGGTCCAATCTCCCATAAAAGGTACGGGTTGGAGATAAGCCTCCATCAAGTATTTCCATGTAAAAAAGGACACATATTATACTTCCTCGTATGTTCCGCTAGCACAACTCACTCGTGTAGCGCAAAACAATCGGCTTGCCAGTGCGGACTTAATAGTATAGGCACTGCAGTGGGCCGCACTCAGGATCTCCTGAATACTCGACAGGTGCTTAACCAGCAAAACCGCAGTGCCCATCGGGGTCTAAATCCGGGTTTGTAGCTACTTAGTTCTGGAGCCCGGCTGGGAATACCGCTCGAATTATCCTGCGGGCTTCTCAAGCCAGCGGTCTACGGGCCCAGAAACGCACCGATGGTATTGGGGTTGAGTTCCCGCCTAGTTAAGAGGGTTCTGAGGTACATTATGAATTTAGCTGTAGTGAGTGGATTGCACTGCAGTTAAATAGGGGCATATTGAGATTTGGTCAAGTGAGTGATAACTTGTAAAGGTCTGACATTTTGACCGGCACCTTACTGTCCATAGGATAGTACTTATGTCCCTATGTATTACATATGGTAAGAGGATGTGAACTGTTTGGTACTAGGATAGGCACTTAAGATATGGTGTTGTGTTCCAGCCAGATAAGTTTTGTAGTGTTAAGAGAGATTTTTTAAATTGTGTGGGCAAAAAGGAGAGGAGTGTCACAAAGGCAACTAGTGAACGAATATCGGTATTAGGGTAATCGGTGGTAAACTTGCTTTAAAGGTGAAATCTCTATTGTATGCTCGAGAACCATTCGGCCCATCTAGTCTGCCCAATTTTCTAAATACTTTCATTAGTCCCTGGCCTTATCTTATAGTTAAGATTACCTTGACATTTTCTTCTTTGTTCGGTACTTTCCCTGTTTATTACCTGTATATTGAATATATTGGTTCGGTAGTTTGAAACTACCGAACGCCGACCACCCTCCTGGCTCATTTACTACAAAGGAACCACCTATTAAGTGCTCCCTGGGCGGCCGCTGTTCGCCGAACGCCACGTGGGATAGAAAACGGCGGCCATCTTGTTCGCACGAGGGAAGTCAGCGGGACTCGACCTCCCGAACCACCGCTGAAACTACCGAACACCGGCTTCCTTTACTTCCCGAACAGCCAGGAGAGCACCATTCGGTAGTTCTGTGCGAATGGACAAGGTGAGCAATCGCTACTATGAGACAGGAGGATCCATTCGGGACTTTGTTCGGTTTTTACCTGTTTGTGAATTGACCGACTGCACACGCTGAATTCGTGGAACTGTTTTGGGCAGGAGCCACGTGTGTGGTCGGTAAAAGGTACCCTCCATACTTTTAAAGAACCCATGAACCGATCTGGGTGAAATTTGGATATGTTTGTCCCCCATCAATTTGTGGGGATACCTGGTGGGGAAAGGGGAGTTCTGAGTTTTGGGGAAATTGTGTGCTCTCTGCCTGGAGATAATTGGTTTATTCCTAAACTTATCTCAATATCTCCCAGGCAGAGAGAAGGCGTGTATTACTGTAAATCTGTATGTTGATTGGCTGTTGTCTTTGTTTGCTGTGGGAGGTCCTCTTGCAGGAGGATTTCTCATAAAAGCCCATGTGTTGTCAATAAAATTCATTCCTGTTACACCCTTCATGAAGTCTAGGCTCATATTTGGGGGATATTATATTGGCTGGGAAGAATCATCTTGGAACTGCATTCATCTATCCTATTCCTCTACTCCCTGCTGCAGCTATAATCACTTATGCTCAGCTATTGGGAAAAGGAACAGAAGACCACAGCACCATAACCACTGCAGGTCTTAACACTCCTTTACTGTGTTAACCTCTACCAGTTATTCCATGCATCCACTAACCTCTCAGTAAAGTAATACTTCCTGATATTTTTATACCTTTGTCCCTCTAATTTAAGACTATGTCCTCTTGTTGTGGTAGTTTTTCTTCTTTAAAATATAGTCTCCTCCTTTACTGTGTTGATTCCCTTTATGTATTTAAATGTTTCTATCATATCTCCCCTGTCTCGTCATTCCTCCAAGCTATACATGTTAAGATCCTTTAACCTTTCCTGGTAAGTTTTATCCCGCAATCCATGAACCAGCTTAGTAGCCTTTCTCTGAACTCTCTCTAAAGTATCAATAACCTTCTGAAGATACGGTCTCCAGTACTGTGTACAATACTCCAAGGGAGATCTCACCAGTGTTCTGTACAATGGCATGAGCACTTCCCTCTTTCTACTGCTAATACCTCTCCCTATACAACCAAGCATTCTGCTAGCATTTCCTGCTGCTCTTACATTGTCTGCCTACCTTTAAGTCATCAGAAATAATCACCCCTAAATCCCTTTCCTCATATGTTGAGGTTAGGACTCTATCAAATATTCTGTACTCTGCCCTTGGGTTTTTACGTCCAAGATGCATTATCTTGCACTTATCCACATTAAATGTCAGTTGCCACAATTCTGACCATTTTTCTAGTTTACCTAAATCATTTGTCATTTGGCTTATCCCTCCTGGAACATCAACCCTGTTACATATCTTAGTATCATCAGCAAAAAGACATACCTTACCATCAAGACCATCTGCAATATGACTAATAAAAATATTAAAGAGACTTACTGTGAACGAAATACGCCTGTATAATCGGGGTGGTTGTTCTTGTGGCTGGTCTACGAATAGGTAATCTGAGGACATAGTTGTTAGAATACTGACCCTACGATGGTGGGTACAAGATTCATAGGACATAAATCAAATATCCCTTTAAGTGAGTAGGGTGAGGATCCTAGGCCACTACCAGAGACCATGGGGAGTGTTTAACCAATACTGTGACAATAATGGGGGATAGGCAGAGTCATGAGTGAACGCTAATTGGTCCTGTGACTTCTGTAGCTAAAATACATATAGGGGGATATGGAATACCAAGCTATGAGGGCAGTTTTAAGCTATCCTGGTAGGACTTAGAATATTTAATTATGGTCGTGCCAGCATGGGAAGGGGGGTGTATGTGTGGGGAATTAAGGATCCTCGGGCGTGGGCCTGTGTACAGCCTGGCGGAGGAATTGCGTGCCAGTGTTGGCTGATGTAACATAGAACAGTTAGAGTGGAGTTGCTGTAGGTTTGGTGATACTATGTCTGAATAGCAAGGGTCGGTTAGGATGATGATATGTAACGTCATACAAAGTGTATTTTAATATTAATATTAATATAAGTATGTATATTAGTATTAAAATACACTGAGAATAACGTTACATATATATTATATATATATATATATATATATACACACACACAAAC